TCCTGAGCTCTCACAAGGCTCTGGGACCCTGTTTTTTCCAGGTCTCACTGCCTCTTCTCCTCCCATCTCCCCCCATCACAGGCAGAAGAGCCCTTCCCTGTCTCCTAGGAGCTGCACTGGAGAACATGAGGTGTGAACTCAGATCCGGGACTGCAAAGGGATTGATGATGACAGGAGGAGGCCTGGCTTCAGTCACTGCTGCCTGGCAGCCAGGCAGTGATTGGATTTGTGTTCTACACATATTTTGGGATCAGACTAAGGGATTGGATCCATACTTATCATGAGCAGAGGGGTTCAGCTGCAGCAGTGAACCACAAAGAAGGAAGGGCCAAAGGTCCATGGTGCTCTGTACAATCTCAGGGAAATGTGTCCTGCTCCCCCCTCCCCACACAGACAGCTGAGTGCTGAGAAAGCTTTTAAGGCAAAAAAACCTATAAATAAAGAACGCTGTCCCTGGAACACAGAGCTTAAAATATGATGGCATCTCCCCCAGACTGTGAATGGGTTCCCTGAAGAGCTCCCCCAGTCCTGAGACCCTCCCTTTCCCCACTCCCCTCCTGGGAAAATTGGAGAGGCAAAGGGCTGCTGTTCCAGCAGATTTGCAGGAGTGGGAGTTGAAGAATCAATGAAGCTCTGAAAGCCAGTGGGGAAAGTCATTCTGCACCTTCCTGACACCAGGAATAAATGATTCAGCGCGAAAGGAAAAAAAAAATACAACAACCCTCAAATGAGGCTGGAATTACCCACTGGAGAGATATTTCATCTTGAAGAATTGTGTTTGCTGCAGTGTTCATCTCACTGAGCCACAGCAAGGCTTTAATATCCAGCAAAAGGTCAAACCTAAATGGGAATTGGGAGAGCCTGCTGGAGCTCCGACGCCAGCGCCTGCACACACAGCTCCCAGTGCCTCACACGGAGCAGCCACACCAGGCCAAGGCCTGAAACAGGGAGTGGAGCTGAGCTGGACCGTGCAGGAATAGCTCCCTCTCTGATGGGATCCCAGGCACAGCTCAGCCCAACCACGTCCTGCGCGCTCCCTTTGGACTGGGCACGAAAGGAACAGACCCGCCTGCCTGGGTGCCTCGAGCAGGGTGAATCTGGGGAGAAGCTTCCCGATTTTCCACTCAAAGGATCTAACTGATAGAAAAGGAAGGCAAGATTTCAAGGCACCTGAGGGCTGCAGGGGGCAGCTGTCAGCTCCTCCTCAGTTGGGACATCAGTGCTTGAAGGATGCAAGAGACTCTGCCAGTGCCCTGGTCCTGACCTGCTCTGAGCCCGGGGTGGTCCGGGGGTGGTGGGAGCTCTCTCCTCATGCCCATCAGCTCCCCATAGACAGACAGTTCTTCCCACTTTTCCCAGTTCTGCCTTGGTACTGCTGCTGTCTCCTCCACACACACGCATCTGCTCAGCCTCTCCTTGGTTAATGTGCACTCCTTCCCTTGGACTCAGCTCTGCCCTCTGGGAGCCTGGCATCCCAGCATCCCTATCCCAGGCTGTAGCAGAGTTCCAGGGAGGAATTAGGCAGACAGGAGGTGGAGGGAAAGCAGAGGTTCCCAGGCAGCTTCCTCCCTCCTCTTCACCATGACAAAGGTGAGAGTCCAAGAGAAGGAAGGAGTGAACTGAGCCCTTCCTGTAACATCCATCATCCTCCCAAGAGGGAATAATGCAGGTCAGTGAGCTGAGCTGGGCAGAGGGGGATGTTACCTAAAGCAGAGCTGAAAATCTGCTTAAACCTTGGGGTTTATAACAACACTGGTCCCAAGCTACAAGCAAACTGCAGACTCTGCAATGAAACAGGAAGATTTGGGAACTAGCAGCTCTCCTGACAGCCCTGTGCCTTCCACCTGCCACCTCGGTCATCCAACATGACCTGGAGCCCTCCTGCTTTCCTGTTCAGGACCAGCCAACACACCCCCACCCTGGTCTGCCATTCCAGGTGTCCTTTCAGCCCTTCCTGATGAACAAGCTGCCATTCCTGTTGGGCATCCTGTGCCAACATGGATAAACATCCACTGGGGAATCATCTGAAACTACCACTCTCATTTCCACTTGTGACTCAAGCCAGACTTCCCTATGTACAGAGAGATTAAATTTCTCTAAGGTTAACACAAGATAATTTTTTGTTCAAATATTTACAGTTAAAACTCACCAGAAAATCAACAGGATTCTACTGGACAGTGCTCAACTACCCACAGCCCCCAAAGGCAAACAGGGGTTTATGTGGTATTTAAAGCATCCAGAGGCATCCAGAACTCAGCCCTCCCAAGTGTTCCCCGGGCCAGACTGGGTCCCTGCCATACATCCATGGCTCTGAGGGAAGTAGGAAGAGGGAAGCAGGAAGAACTTGCTGTCTTTTTCTTCTTAATAATGGTGACCACATGGACACGGCCAGAGTGGGTCACCAGCCCCTCACAGGGTCACACTGACAAAGGAGGTGGAGGCCATCTCTGAACTGCACCCAGCAGCCACATTCTTGGGAAGCCAATGCTGTGGAAAAAGGGGTCAGGTTGCTTGTCCCCATGTTTGGCTTTGTGGAGCTGTTTGTGTCTCCTGGATCCAAGACCTCCCTGGCAACACAGCGGAGCTGTCGTTTGGAGATCTTCTCCTTTCTATCCAGGATGTTTAAATTCAAGCCTCAAACTTGTGGTTGGCAGGGAACGGGGGCAAACAAACAGCCAAACAATCTGCTGTCAGTTCCTGACAGTCTGGCCTGCAACATCCCTCCTGTCCATGAGGAATGCCCGAGCACAGAGGCATTGGCTCAAGGGCCTGTCACAGAGTTAAACTGCTCAGGCTTAAGTACAAGAGAAAATTAGAAAAAAAAAGAGAATAAATGTATGAAACATTTGGGCTTTGCTCCCTCCTCTATAAGGTCTGTTGTTTCACTGGCAGAGGGAAGGCTGAACTCACCCACAGCTGCACTGAACATCTGGGGGCTTGAGGAACATCCCCTGACTGCTTCTAAACCTTTCTGTTTGCTGCTCCCCCACCTCTGACCCTCTTTTTGGCATGCCAACCTCCATTTCCAGCCCCCTCACCCACTGTTCCTGTGTGCAGGGTGTGCACTGAGGTGCCAGGGATTCCTGGGAGGTAAGTGCAGCTCAGTTTGACAGAGCTGCTGGGGAGGTGCAGCAGCTCAGGTGGAAACCACCCTCTCCTCTCTCTGCTCCTTTCCAAAGCTGAAGGGGTTAGAGGGAAGCTCACCTCTGTGAGCCAGTGCTGAGGAACACTGGCTGGATCCCTGCATGAGAAGCTCTGAAGGGAGCACAGACATCCTCAGGTGTTAATCCCATGGGATGAGTTGGCTTAACAGCCTCCTTTCCCTGGGTGGACAATCAGCTTCCACAGGGAGTCAGTGACTTTCTGAGACTTTTCAAACAGACAGTGCTTTTCTGGGATGAAGCTCCCACCTCTGAAGGGTTCTCATCTCTCCCAGTGCCCTGGGGCTTTCTGCTCACATACACTCTGCTCTCTCACACAACCACGTCCTGCAATGCCACCCCATGCCAGCTTCCCTCTCTGCTGGATGCAGAAGCATTTCCATGCAGCCATGGTGTTTCTGGATGATTCCTCAACTCCACCAGGCTCACAGGGAGTGCAGGAGTGTACACGACTCCTTCCTCTGGGTTGTCACCATTGTCCCCTCTGACAAGGCAAGCCCCAGCCCTGCAGCTGGCAGGTCAGCGTTCCCTGTGCTGCTGAACAAGGAAACACAGAGGAGGGAATGCAGACAATATCCTAAACAAATCTGCTGTTTACAAAGTCCCCTGTAAACTGTTTACATTGCTGGGGAGAAACCATGGAGGAACAGCAGCTGGACCGTGTTCTTCCCAGTGGGAAGAACTCCTCTCCTGTTTGCTGCACTCCTGTGGGATGGAGTGGAGCTGATGCATGTCTGGAAAGGGTGCAAATGCATGAAAGGAAAGAAGAGGCAGCAAAATCCCAGTAGTACCCACTCCCCCAGCCTGCCAGGACCTCTGGCTGCCTCAGCGCTGCCTCAGCACTGCCTCCCAGAGCACACTCCGAGGGACATGGCATGTCCTTGGGGTGCAAGGTGGCAAGGGACAGCCAACCTCGGGCTGCTGAGCAGTGCCTGGGGTGGTGAGGCTGCTGGCAGAGGAAGCAGTCCTGGAGGAGCCAGCCCTGACCCTCCCTGGAGCCCCTTGGCTCTCAGACACATGTGAAGTGCCTTGTGACTCTCATGCCTCGGAGCCGCGGTGTGTGGTGCCAGAGGCCGCTGCTGCATTATAGACATGGCTAAAAATGGGGCCTCAGAAAGGCCAGCAAGAACATTTCGAAGTGCTGGCATAAAATAAAAGCCTCAGTGTGCCTTTAATCTGCCCTGTTTCCTGTCCATGGAAAGCTCTTTGAAGTGCCTGTGCACAGGGCAGTGCTGGAACACCCGTGACCCAGCTGACCAGGACCACGTGGGCTGGAGACAGAGCATGACTGCCCGAGCTGTGGAGCTGCCTTGGGGGGAAGGCATGGAAGGGTTAAACCCAAAAGCCACCCTGGATCGGTCCCCTTCACACTGGAAGGTTCATTCTGTTAACTTGAATAGCTGAGCAGGACATGAGAAAACAAGGCTTCCACTCCAGGAAGGTGATAAGTGCTCTGAGCCCAGAAATAGCACAAAGGGGGGTATGTGGGGATGGGCAGCCAGCTGGAACAGCAAGGACAGGGAAAACATCCTCCCTGTACATGGTATGGCAGCCCTGACCTGGTGGTTGGAAAGGAACACAGGTACAATGATTAAAAAAACAAAAAAAGAAAGTGGGTAAACTCAGTTGCCCAGAGAAGCTGTGGCTGCCCCATCCCTGGAAGTGTCCAAGGCCAGGTTGGACCAGCTTGGAGCAACCTGGGATAGTGCAAGGTGTCCCTGCCTGTGGCAGGGGATGGAAGTGGATGAGCTTTATGGTCCCTCCCTATCCAAACCATCCCATGATTCTATGAATACAGGTAGAAAGATTCTAAAAAAAAATGAAAGTGGTTAAACTCACCCATCTGGTGTCCAAGGGCAAGCAGGGACACCACAGAGCTCCATCAGCAAGAGGCAAGGGATGTTCATCCACATTTTCTCCCAAACATAGAAGAACTCCACTCTCAGCACCAGTCCTGCCTTTACTCTCCACCCAGTTGGTCTTCCAGGGCCCAGCTGTGTCCCTTTCCTGACCAGGAAGAGGATGGAGGGGTCTCCCAGCAGAGGCAAACATCCCAACCAGCAGGAATGTCAGAGGCATGTGCAGGACCTCTCACAGATTGAGCTAAAAGAAATAAAACAGGGGAAAAAAACCCCAAAATTTGTCAGGACAAGCCGTAACAAAAGATCATCAGGTTCCTTTGCTGAAGTAAAAAAATCAAATCTAAGCACATTTTTCAGAGCCAATCCCAAAGAAAATTGGGGTTTTGCTTTCAGCAGCTTTCGTGCAGTTACAAACATGTCAGCCAGCTAAATTTCTGAGTGAGAGACTCTCCAGAATGAAAACTTGAGCCATTTAGTTTTAAAATAAGTCAGAAGGACTGAAGCTGTAATCCCACGAGTGCTGGGTGGGATTCCTTGGCTGAACTGAGGATATTTTTGCTTGACCCCACATGGCTCAGGCCCAGTGACAGGGACCTTCAGGCCCCAGTCCTTGCAGAGAAGTATCAACCCTCAGGGATACCCCAGTGCTCCCTCAGCCTTGAGAAACCCACTGGGTTTGTGCACTGAGTTTGGAATAGGTGCTAGGATTTTTTGGTGGATGAGCAGCATTTCCCACTTCAATTTTAATTCTTGGTACTGTGGATCACTTCACAACCAGCCACCCTTCAGAGCACAGGCAGGGGGAAGAGATTCCTCCGTGCAACACCTCCAGTGTGAGCAGATTGCCCAAAGATCCCACGGGCAAAGGCAGAGGGAGAGCTCAGCAAAGTCATGTACCATAAATTCCCTCACTCCTGTGACAAACTGGTCAGCCCGTGTGTCCTGCTAAGGGCACAGGGCTCTCCGAGTCAGCTGAGCATCTCCTCCCTCCCCATTCTCAGGGGGTTGATTACTATGAATCATTAAAACACAGCCCAAATGGCCAGGAATTAACCCACACACTGTCCCAGTGTGCAGCTCCAGTCCCATGTGTTTGGCAATGTCCCAAAGTCATCTGCTGGAACAGTCACAGATGTACCCAGAGCAGCCCTACATCCCCAGCCCCCCCCCCCACCTTCCAGGGGCATCCCTGCTCTGTGCCCAGGGAGCTGTGGGAAAGGGCTTCTCAGCAGAGCTGAGAGGTGGCAGTGGCTGGTTTTGGGTGAGGGTCAGTGCCCCCTGTGCTTGCCCAAGGTCAGGAAGGGGTTAGAGCTGCTCTCACCCCCCACATCTCCTCACCGAGGGGTCTGTCTGGACAATCCTCCCCCCTGGGACTCCCGGGGCCCTTCCACGCACGGAAGTATTCTGGAATTCTTGTAATTAATTCTCTGTCATCCCCAAAACAGCACTGCTGTGCAGAGGAGTGCCACAGATCAGCAATTAAGGGGCAGAGACAGACGGGCAAGGGAGGCTCAGCAGGTCACACCTGCGCTGCTCCAGAGCTGCTCTGGGAGAAAGCCCTTAGCAAGCTCCGGAGGGAACGGCAGCTCCCAAGTCAAACCCAAGTAATAAGATGATCTTGTAGGGGGCAAGATTAATCATTATTGGCAGCCAAGAATGTGCAAGTCTAACAAAAGCCAAAGGTTTTTTTATTACAGTCCAACTGCAGCAGGGAAGACAATGTTAGCTAAGAATCATTAAATCTATTGCAAGAATAAATTTTCTTTGAACCAAACCATAAAATGGGAGTAAAATTCCTCTTAAGCCAGCGGCAGCTCCTAATGGCACAGACATTAATATTTTTTTTCTTGCAAGCCAAAAATAAAAAAAAAAATTTGCTTTAGATTATTAAGTGGATAGATTAGACTCCAAAACAGAAAATATTTACTTCAGCAAAACCTGCTTAAATTAATACCTGCCCTAATGAATTTTTAAGTTTGGGTTTATAATTTAATGGAGTAATGATGTTTTCTGCCTGTACAAACAGGGATTTGTGAAGCCTGTTTACCCAGAATTCAGGCAGGAGGAGAAGCATCTAGGAAAACTTTCCCAGGTAATATCAGTGCTGCTGCATGTGCCAGGGATGAGTCTGGCAGCTCCTGCAAGCCTGGAAGGTGAAGCCAAGGTCCCTCCTCACAGTCGGTCATTAAATTTCCTGGAACGTCTGACCAGGAGGTCAGTCTGATATTATCAAACATAAAAACTAGTACAGAAAAATGGAAGTCATTTCTCTCTGCAGGCTGATTCAGTCCCTGCTTTCAGGGCAAGCTTGGTGCACTCCCCCCTCAGTGCTTCTCCCTCGCTGCCAGAGAGCAGGAGGGGCAGGAAGGGAGTGGAACTCTGAGCATTCACACGGGCTCTGCACACCCAGGTGGAAGACACACCTGCACAATCCCTTCTCTGGGGCAGGCAGTGCAAGGAGGGAGCTGTGTCCTGTTCTGGGAGCTTTTCCCACTGCTGGACACTCCTCTGTGCTGTGGACAATCTGTCTTTCCTCTTTCCAGAGGGTATCCTTGGATGCTCAGACTTTTCAGACCTCTAAAAAGTTTCCTGATCTAGATGTGGCCTCTGCACAGGGCATTTTTTGCATCAGCAAGTCAAGGGAGGGGATTCTGCCCCTCTCAGGTGAGACCCCCCCTGCAGAGCTGCCTCCAGCAGAGTCCAACAGTAGAAGGATGTGGAGCTGCTGGAGCGAGTCCAGAGGAGGCCACAGAGATGCTCTGAGGGCTGGAGCCAGGATGGGAGAGCTGAGGGTGTTCACCTGGAGAAGAGAAGGCTCCAGGGAGACCTTAGAGCCCCTTTCAGAGGCTAAAGGGGCTCCAGAGAGCTGGAGAGGGACTTGGGACAAGGGCCTGGAGGGACAGGAGAAGGGGGAATGGCTTCCCACTGCCAGAGGGCAGGGATAGATATTGGGAAGGAATTGTTGGCTGTGAGGGTGGTGAGGCCCTGGCACAGGTTGCCCAGAGAAGCTGTGGCTGCCCCATCCCTGGGAGTGTTGAAGGCCAGACTGGACAGGGCTTGGAGCAACCTGGGCTAGTGGAAGGTGTCCCTGCCCATGGCAGGGGGTGAAACAGGATGAGCTTTCAGGTCCCTTCCCACCCAATCCATTGTATGACTTTATGATTGGAACCCACTGAAAGCTCTCTGTGACTATAGAAGTCAACACTGCCCAAGGGCTGGAAATCTCACTGCATTGTCCTACTGTTTTTTTGGTTTTTTTTTCCCCAAAAGCCCCTCCTCAGGGCTGAACTGACACACCCACCAAACACACTGAAATGCTCAGGAACAGCTGTCCATAACCATTCCCCATTCCCATCACTTGCACGACAAGGATTCCTGGAGCAGTTCCACACCCCACTGGCATGGGGTTGTTCCCCCATTAGGGTCCAGCCTGGGAAGTACAACGTGGCCATTGGCTTGCAGCTGGCAGCCAACCCGGACATCCTGCTCCTGGAAGCACACCCTGTCTAATAAGTGGGAAGAGGAGAAACATTTTATTACAAACCTTCCTGCCTGGAAGCATTTCTGATCCTGGCTTGAGCAACTCACACTCAGCCCCAGAGTGTACACTTGAGTGTGTGTCTGATGTCTTTTGGGGAGCAAGATGAGAAAGTACAGGGACCTTGCTGGCACATCAGAGCTCTGTTGCCTGTGTTTTCCAGACAGGGACCTTGTTGCCAAGTGCTGGTGAGTGCTGCAGGCTGGTCCAGGCTCTCCACACAAATTACTGGTGCAGGTCTGGTTGTATGTTGTGGGGACAAAAATGAGAGAGAGACATGGACTCAATATTGAAATCTTAAAGCAAAAATGTGGAAGGTCAGATGACAGTGGCAGAGAAGGTGAGAGGCATTTCAGACCCAAACAGCACTTAAATTCAGGTGAGAAACAGGAAGTCTGTGGCAACAGCAGAATCATGGAGGCCATCAGAAAATATCACAAGTTAATCAAGAGTTGGGAGCAAGTAGAGTCCAGAGCTTGCCAGGAAACAACATGTCACCAGGATTACAGGCAAACCTTACAGGGCAGCTGTGATTCTGAAGGCCTGAGAGTCAAATTGTGATCAAAGAGTCGTGCAGGCACAAGAGGAAACAGCATGGAACCCAGAATCCCTCTCCTAAAGGCAAACAGAGGTGACTGACAGCACAACAGATCCTTCCCAATTCACCCCCCAGGTCCCAGGAGGAATGGATGGAGGGCTGCTCACGTGACACTGACTGGCATGCTGCAGGATTGTCTGTGGGAAAGGAACGAGAGGGGTAATTTTATTGTCATGTACCACAGGGGGGTGTAAGTAAAATCACAGCATGAGAAAATGACAGTGTGTCTGTCTGAGGTCATTTGCATGCCCGGATAATCTGTGGGAGGAGAGCCAGAGTTGCTGTGTTTGACAGAGGCAACACAACAATGTGCTTGGGAATTGGCAGATTTGCAAGCCCTGAAACCAATCTCGTGTTTGCTGCTCCCAGAAACCAAAATGACCAGATTTAATCATTTAAGCTTTCAATGATTACACTTTCCTCCCTCGTTATGGGCTGTAAGAGGGTGTCCTCTTGCTGAGCAAGCTGCAGGGATAGCACAGAGGGACAGCCCAGCTGGGAAGGGTGTGCACATCCCAAGGACATGCTCAGGGGACACAAAGGGACTGTACAGTGCTCTGTGCAGGTGAAGGAGCACAGACAGGCATGAAGGCAGACACTAGGGAGCAGCTGCTCTGGGCAGGCAGTGTAGCCCACTAGTTTTTAGGAGGGATCTGGAAGAAGGAGAAAAGGCTTTGTTAGTGTTTCCAGGTTGCTCCTCCGCTGCAGAGGGAGTAACCTGGGATAGAAACAGGGTGGCACATTGGAACTGGCACGGCTGGCAGGACAACTTGGTATCTCTGCAGTGGAAAATGTAGCTGCTGGTTGGATGGAGCAGGGCCAGGAGAACAGGCCGTCTGCAGAAGGCACAGGCACTCCAGGGCTCCTGTGAGGGAGATGGTGACAGGATTGGTGAGACAGGCTCTGCACGACCCTCTAACACTGCACTGCCAGAGGCTCCAGGAAAATCCCGATGATAAGGTGTGAGGTGCTCTGCACAGGACTGATAAGTGTGGCAGAAATCTGATTGCTCCAAAAACCTGGGCACCCCAAAGGGATTTCATCTGGGAACACAGGGAGGAGGAGCTGGATTTTAGAGATAACCTTTGCACAGAACCATCTAGTTTTCAGCAGAGCCCAGATATGGGTATTTAGAGACAGGTCAAGTCAAAGAGGACAGAGGGGGTGAGTGGATGGTGAGAGAGAGACATCAAGAAAGGAGCAGGGAAGAGCAAGCACAAGGAGATTTAAAACTCCTGAGCTGAAGGCAGTAGGTGGGTGTCCACGAAGGGCTGTCAGAAAGCAGTCTGTGAATTAATTTGGACAGTGCAGGACGGGCTAGGAGGAAAGCGATTGCTCTGTGAGTCATCAGCAGGAGATTAAATATGCAAAATTTGTAAATAAGGTCACCCAGAGAGGGAATGCAGAGGAGGAAAAGAGGAGGGCTGGGCAAATGGCCAAGGATGGAGCAGTGAAGCAGCTGACAGTACTTAAGGATTGTCAAGCAGGACAGGCACAGCCCCATCAAGGCAGGGGCAACCCTGTCCTGCTCGGTGAGCAGAGGGGAATAACACACCCCCACCAGCAAGTAGACTTGTCACTGCCAAACCCAGAGAGAGAGCAAAACACCTTGTTGGTAGCCATAGACTGGAAAAGACAACCCCACAGCTGTAGCTGGCAGGGACTTGTGTGGGAGGCTGAGCCTACCCAGCGTTACTCAGCTGCTTCCCAGGCGCTGGAAGAGCCAGAGCTCGTGTTTGTGACTGCAGGGGCAGGAGCAGTGGCATCCTGAAAGCCCCAGCTGACCCCAGGTTCCAGAGCCAGCTGGCCAAACGCCACAGCCTGAGCTCCCCCATTACCTGGAGCTGGCTGGGAAGCAGAAGGCAGCACGCAGGGAACGGCCCGTTACCTTGTCACTGGCAAAGGCCCCTCATTTGTCAGGGAGGGATTCAGGCAATCTACAGAGGGATGGGGGGGGTGCAGGTGTTAGGCAGTCACCCTGAGAGCTGGAGACAGCAAAGAGAGCCTGAAAAAAAGAGGATCCATTTCTAGGCAGAGAGGCTCTTAGCAAGCCCCAGGCAGAGTGGGGGGAAGGGGGGCTGGGAATGGACCAGTGGAACAATGAGTACAAAACAAAGGGGCTGCAATTAAAGGGACTCATTCTGGTGCTTGAACCAGCTTTAAGCAACTTTGCTGCTGCCTAATCTGAGGCTAATAACAAGCCAGATGTCTTACAACCTGGAAATGCCTGGCCAAGTCAGTGGAGAAGAGCAGGTGAGGCACTTAACCCTAAAAGTAAGTGGTGTAAAGGTTGTTCTGTTTCTGTTTGTGAGTGCACAACAAAGGCAAACTGCTTTGGGGTTTAAAGGTTAAAGTTGCAGCCTGTTGGCAGCAGGATATTGTACAGCCCTGCTGTGGTGCTGAGACGGGCTGAGCAGCCTCAACATCTCTGTCTGGCACATGCCCCAGAGGCAAAGTTCAGTGAGCTGGGCCCAGGGGTGAGCAGCAGAGGTTACCCCAAGGCCAGGCTCTGTGAAATGCAGAGTTAGCCAGGCCAGGGTGGCCTGGCCCCTGCAGGGTGCTGCTTACCCGTTCCAGAAATTCAGAGGTTTTTATATGCAGCCCAATTAAAAGGAAATCCAGTGTGCAAAGCACAGCTTAGTCCAAATTCCCATTACAAGACTTCATCAGATCACTCTGGGCTCTGAGACCACTGTCTCCACACAGTAATAGCCATTATCCCCAGGCTTTGTGTGTGTTTATGTTACCCTTCCATTTTCCCTTCAGATATGACAAGCAATTCCTAGAAAATATGTTATAAACTCTTCTGCTCTGGAGTTCTGCCACCTCTGATTGCATTCATTTGAGCCAAGGATGTAGTTCCAAAGTAAATCAATAAACAAGACTTAAAAGGGTCCTACAGACACAGGCTGGGGGCAGCACCACAGCCCTCCCCCTTCCCCAGTTATCTCTGCTGTGCTTCAACCTAACAAAATAAATGGGTGAAATCCAAACAGTAGAACACTTCCCAAAGCTCCCAGTGCTGCTTTACAGTATGGGAATAGGGGCTAGGGCTGCCTTGCAGCTGGAGGGTCCCTGGAGTCACCAAATCAGTGTGGCTGCTTGTCACAGTGCTGATCTGGGCCAGGGGGAGGGTCTCTCAGGGATCATCAGCAGGGACACACCTCATTGCCAGCCTGTGGTACCCATGGGTGGGCTGCAGCCAGGGTCGCCTGGTTGCCACAGGTGGTCCTGGAGACACCCAAGGAAACATCTCCACCCCCGTGTGGGACTGGAATGGCAAATCTGGAAAGCCCAGATTCAGAAAGGGGCCATGCACCCCACTCTTACTGAAGACACTGAGTCCCCTCAGGCTTGCTATCACATCCAAGGAAGCATATCTAGATTTACTTGGGGAGTACACATTCACCCTGAACCTTCCTTTACACTGCCTGTGGCTCCTCGTACCTCCCAGCACCCCAAGAGCCATTTGGGAACAGGGAATGGTCCTTGGAAGCCTCCCAAGAAGCTGACAAGGCTGTACCTCCTCAGGCAGCTCCTCCAAGGTGAATCATAACAGACTCCATAAGCACAGTAAGGACTGCTGGCTAAACACTTCCCCAGGGAACAGCTGAGAGGTGGGTTATTCATCACCACCTGCTCCTCAGGAGCAATGGATCAGGCACACAGGATGAGGGAAACTTCCAGAGAAACCCCTGATACAAAGCCTGCTTGTATGCACTCACAGCAGGAGTTACAGAGCACATTAACTCCACTGGTTGAATTATTTGGATTTGGGTGTTTTTTTAATTTCAAAATCTCCAAAGGCTGTGTAGACACAACGTTGACAGCTCAGCCAGAGAGGAGGGGTGCTGTGAGAACACCCCCTCACTCTGCTGGGGTTTTACCTGGCTGGTAAACAACTGCTGGGGTTTTACCTGGCTGCATCTTCAACTGAGATCTCCATCACCTGTGTGCTGCTGCTGTATTGGTGTGTCTGCCTGGAGATGACTCAGGACACCTGTCTGCTGTTCCCAGCTCTGCTGCTTTCTCTCACTGTGAAATAAAACAAATCATTCAGAGTGGCAGTGCTCTCGTATTTTGGTTTTCCTCACGGTCTCTGTTTAGTGCGTCCGTGCACTGCTTCCAAATCCAGCCCTGTGTGTGCAGAGCCTGATTAGGGGAATTCACACCACCAAAATATACATCCTATGTGCTCTTCACAAGCAGTTACAGTTACAGCCCTGGAAGAGCCTCCCACACAACACACTGGCACAGTGAAGCTCCTACTAGAGACATGTGGGACAAGCAGTGCCCACGTCTCCTGCACAACAGGCTTACTCAGCCCCGGAGTGCTGCGGGACATTGCTTAAAGAAACGTTTTCCTGGGAATCAGAGAGAGATCCCACGAACTGCTGCTCTTTTTAGTGGGGCCTGTGCTCATTTGTAGAGCTATGGAGGCCATGTCTGACACCACAGAGGAGCTGTGGGCTATCCCAGCCAGCGAAGAAGGCTCCTCTGAGCTGCACTGAGGGACACAACTGCTGGAGGCCATTCCCATGACATTCCCATGTGTTCAGATCATCCCTGTGCAGCACCAGGGAACTGAACTGCACACACTGCTGTGCTGCCTTGGTTTCTCTCTGTGCTTCCAGCACAGGCTGCCCTGCACCTCACTCAGGCAAACCCCAAATTCAAGAGGCCAAATTGTTCCCAGTGTCCATGCAAAGCAGCCCCTTGTCCCTGTACACCCTGTGGAGCAAGGGGAGTGCTCTCACCCTGCCCAGGCTGGCAAAGCCCATCACGTGGTCCCAGTGCCACACTTTCTACCAGAGCCTGTTTCCCTGCTGGGGACCATGCTCTGCTCTGGGTGCCTGCAGCACTGAGCACCTTTGAGTGTGCTCAGCCATGGGGTAATTAATGAACACAAGTGGTCACTTCCATTATCTGCAACTTGAAGGCAACTCCGATCAGGTCAGAGCTGGAGCTGCACTGGAGCAGGGCACAGCCACACCTGGGGCTCCAGACCTTTGCGCGCTCACTCTCCCCGGCCGCTCAGGGAGTCAGGTGGTGCCGTTCCTAGAAGGTGAATAAATTATTATTGCAAATTACTCTGATGAAGTGGCTTTTATTAGAAAGCCAGACACAAAGGGAGCTTGCTGATTGGCTCCCAGTGATGTCATAGCCAGCACAGCACTCAAATGCAGAGATGCGAATTTTCTCCCCTGTATTTTGTGTATAATTTTCATTTTCTCCTGGCAATAAAGACTCACCAGCAGAGTCTTTCACCCCGGGAGGGCGGCGGGGGGGGTCTGTGCTGCTCAAGTGGCTGATGAAAGCAAAGTGGCCTTTGTTCCTCTGTCTTGCAGGGAACCCCAGGCTAACAGTTTGCACCCACAAAGGCACTGTGGTTTATTGTTCTATTATAAACCCACCACTCCATTTTCTTAGGTGGGTAGCAGAGAAATTGGCATTTTTTTGGCTTGCATATACCTAAAATCATTCTGATCACAGAGATTTTGCTCTTTACAAGCTGAAGCTTAAAGTGCAGATAAAGCAACAGCCTGGGTATCATTCTGATCCTCAGCAAAAGGCGAGAATGAAGCTTTAGAAACAATCAGGCAGCAAAATCCAACCAATTATTTATTTTCCAAGTTTCACATCATGGTTTTTCCTCCCTGAAAAGCCACTGTGAATTCTCAGAGAGGTCTGTCAGAGGGGCAGACGCAGTGCCAAGCACGCTGCACGTTCTCATTTCTCTTCCCTAACTGAACCTCGTATTGAACTTACAAAATTCGCCAGGCAAATGTTCCAGCTTTAATCATTCCTGGATGCAACAGGCACACCGGGACAACTCAAACAGTAGAACCCTGTGTGGACAGCAGGCATGGAATTCTCCCTTGCCTCGCTGAACTGGAATGAACTCCCAAACTGAGGCAGCCACGTGAAGGCTGCGCTGAGCTCTGCAGCTCCCTCACGCAACGCGGCCGCAGTTCTGGGCTCCAGCCCTGCTGGACCTGGACATGGCAGAGTGGAAGGTTTTCCATACCTCCCTCCCTCCCTTATGTACAATCAAGGTGTAAATTTTGCTGAGAAGGCCAAGAGTAACATTTCCAGCCCTGGGAACAGTCTCTTCCCTGTGCTGTGCAAACACTGGGCTCTCCTCCAGCAGACCCAGCACAAATCCCGAGCTGACCTCCGGCACTTGCCCATTCCCCTTTGATTATGGCTCTGAAGCCATTTGTCCTGCAAGGGCAGAAAACAAAACACATCTATCACTTGGAAGATGCCCTGGAAACCCCCAGACAGTTGCACTGATGAAACTGGACACTGAGGGCTGCTGGAGAGCTCAAACATAGCTAGATTTGCTGTTCCCAGACCTGAGGTCACGACTCCCTGCAACATCATCAGCTCCACTTTATTCCAGGTGGCTTGAAGTTGGAAATCATTCTCCCTTATCACTGAAGATTTGCTGAGCTGCCTGCCCTCCGTGGATAACAGCAGCTGCCCTCAGACTCCTGGAGGCTGGATCTGAGGCTTTTGAAGTGCTGAGGGTGAATGTGCAAGGAACAGGCATTCGGGAAGGAGACTCCTGACTGTGAATCAGAGTTAAAAAGGAATGTGAAGGCAGCAATCCTGGGAGAGGATGCTGGCTGAGACACACAGCCTGCATCAGCAAAAAGGGAACGGGCTCCCAGGTTTAAGATCTGGAACAGATTCAAAACACCCCTTTTAGATCTGACCTGTTTTCCTGTCTGAGGGAGACAGTGGAGAGGAGAGGGAGCCGTGAATCTCAGATCCAGTCCCTGCTTTGCCAGTGTGTGGCTTGGCCCTACATCCCTCTTTGCTTTTACACTCCATGTGAGAGTAGAGGGTTATTAAAAGCATCAGAAGAATCTCAAGTAAAACAATTTTATTGTTTTTTAAGAGCTTTGTTATACATCTCTGGAGCTCTGGCTTGGACCACCACAGACCAGCATCAGGAAGCTCAGAACAGCCTTTGGATATCGAATTACTGTTCAGAACCATATCAAATTCCAAAATTGCAACTACTGGCCAATAAAAGAAGCCTCTGCAGGACATAACACACCCACACAGATGGCACAGACCACAAAACTGTCATGCTGGGCCTAACTCAGCTTCCTTTCCTCACCCAGAGCAGCAGCCTTGCCCCGCTCTGATTCCAGCAGCATTATTCCCCTGGGAAGCAGCTGGGCTCTAGAGGAGAACACAGTCCCACCTACTCATCACCGACCTCACAAGAGCCCCTCTATTGCTTGGCTTTTAATGACTTTGGGGGTTGGTGTCTCAGGCAGCCCCTCCCCTGCACTTGAGGACAGTATTAGAATCACGTTTGGATTATAATACCCAGTAAGCTGTTCTGGGGTGATATGAATCAAAGCCCTGAAAGTGGGATTGCGTTTAATTAATCGTGGCTGACAGATGAAGGTATTGATCGTAGATTGAGAGGTTCAGGACTGGCCTGGGGGATAATTGTTGCAGGGCACACTGTGTTAGGGTGATATTTCCTTCATTTCTGGTGACGCAGGAGGGAAGCAGGGGGAAAATAAGTGAATAATTGCAGCTAATTAGAACTCGCGTGTACATCCCAAATTAATTTGTCTGAATAATCAACCGCCACCAGCAGTCTGATCCAAAAGGAAAAGGAAACAACTGCCCAGAAAGATCTCAATTGCTCCTGTAAATTCTGCAGTCCCAGGTCTGGGATAAACGTTTTACAGAGTTGAGGCCCTAAATACAGAAGGAGAACTGGACAAGATTATTGAGTGGAAACACTTGCTTTTGCCTAAGATGTACAATAGGTAAAAAGGACTGGGTGAAGCTGAGTGTGGAGGAGTGGCAGACGATGTTCTTGCCTTCACCTTCTTCCCATCCCTATCCATTTGCAACAGGCTGGACCGCCGGCAGCCTGCCCACCGCTCCCTCGCCAGGTGGGACACGGGAGGTGCGGGATGGCGGCGGGGGATCAGCCGGGCCACCGCTGTCGCCGCGGGGTTAATAAGAGGTGTCTGTGCCGGCGGCAGGGGCAGATGGAGGCGAGGCTGCGGCAGCCCCGTGGGCTCACAGCGCCCGGCCCCGCTCGGGCCGCGGGATCCCCTAATCTCCCACGGCAGCCCTGCTGCTACAAACACTCTCATCACGAACGCAGCGGGGGCAGCTCAGCACAGACAGGGAATGATCTAGCAGGGGGTTAATAAAAGGACTGGCGCAGAACAAAAAGCCTGTCAACCGCCGCAAGATGTGCTCTCCACCCCTGCCGCCCCCCAGGAAATTAAAAACTGCAGCCCGTGGCGTGCGGTGTTCCCCGCGGGACCGGACGGGGCACGGGGAGACGGAAGGGTAGGACGGGAAGGGGGAAGTTGGGAGTCAAATGTTTGTCCCAGCTGTTGTTTCTGATGCGATATATCAAGTGCTGTTACTCTAAAGGACCAGGCTACCTGGTCTTTCCAAAGCTTATGAAATCACGGCACATTTCCGTGAGCTGTTCATCCACTCGATCCTGCCAGGCTGGAGGGCCAGGCTGCTCTGCCTGACACCGCCGAAGTCCATGCTAGCACGTTTCCATGGAAATGGGAAGAGAACGAATGCCTGTGACATGATACACCTTTTCTGATGTAGATTTGGACCATTTCTAACATCTCTTTCTAGTGACAGCCTTCAGGACTGAATATTTTGCGGGCACAACCAAAACAGAACAAGAAGGGGGAAAAGACATCTGATGTTACGAATCAAAACCAACCATCCTTTCTGGTGAGCAGCAGTTGAACCTGAAAGCACATTAGTCCCCTAAAACAACCTTCTAGGCAAAGAGACCCCCGCACTAAATATAACGTAATTCGCGGGCTCCTTATTTCTCAGAGGCGAACGGTGACGATCTGTCCCTCCCCTCTTCGGCCCGTTTGGGATGAAGTTTCCATCCCCGTCTTCTCCCCTCGGAGGGGGATCCCTGCGCTCGGAGGTTCCCTGGCTGTCACTGTGAGACCAGCCCGGCAGCGCTGCGGCAGCGCGGGCCCGCAGCGCCCTCTCCCGCGGCT